CCCGTCTCTTTTTAAGCCCGCTCACCACCATGAACGTGCACACAGTGACATAAAAAGGTGGACTTGGTGCCCTGGTGGATTTCCCTAAGATCAACTCCATAGAATGTATAAAAATACAATTGCCTCAAACCGACTCTAAGACACACAACAACGGATTTATTGTTAAATTCCCTCGACGATGTGCAGGGAAGAAACCATCTTTTCAAGAAACTCCAAATATTCCATCCCCATTAGGTTTTAAAATATCTCATAAGCTCGGTTTCTTTCCAGAGCTATGGGTCTGTGGATCTTCTTATAGAAACCCATTACCCTGTGGCTGTTTAACAAATCCATCCCTGCTTAAAATTATAAATGACAGCCCGTCTCATAAAGAGAAAAGTCCTCCTTGACAGGAAAACAATCTCAGCTGGTTTTCCTTGGATAACAAATGGACTTGTTTCAGGCCCAGCACCATAGCTGTTTCCAAAATAGTGTAGTCGTGAACAGCCATTCCTATTTCAGGGCTCCAAATTAAGGGGCTTGCAAAAATGAGTGACCACCTGCAAGTCGGAATGATTTCCACCGAGAAAATTACCATGATTTGCTACGGATCTACATTCATAACTTTAAAAACTGTCTGTCTTCCTTATTTTTTGTTCTATAGATTTCTTGTCAGCCACAATGTCAGAGGTCACTGTCAGAGTGTCCCTTTGGTACCCATTAACTATAACCAGCAAACTTGTTCACTATTGATCCACTATGTCCAAGTATCTATTATGGGGGATATAAAAGGTGGCCCCACATCTTTCTAAACAGATAATTCATAAAGGCCAAGAGGTCATGGCTTGTGATATATTATTCTTTCACTGTGTCTGTGACTGAATGGACACAGAGGGGGAGCGAGAAGGGGGTGCCGGGGTCATGAGAGTTAGACTAGAGAGGTAGAAAGTTGTGTGTCAACTGGACACGTTAACATCCATATAAACAATAAAAGGCATTAATAATATTTGTCCATGACCTCATTATCGATTCATTCTACTCAGAAGCGGAGGTTCCTAGCTCTAGGGAAGACAGAGTTGATTTTTTTACCTCAAAAGTTCAGTTGAGGTTGAACTATCTAAAATGAAGGTCGACTGAAAACAGTAAAATATATTCTGGTAGGCATAGATCGGGTCCTAGGATGGATGCATTTTGCAGGTAATGCATCATCTGGGGCAAAGCAACTGCTTGGGGGAACAGGAGCCTCACGTATGGAGTGCGCAGGGTCCGCTGGGCTCTGATGGGCTCAGCATGTCACCATGTTCCTTCGGGACTGTCTGATCCATCACAATATTTAACCACTGCTGGCTCTTATTGAACATTCAGCAATACACTGCAGAGGCCATTGCTAATGTTCCACACGTTCCCCACCTAAAGTAAAGCATCTCATTAGCAGAACAATAAGGATCTAACGAGTAAGCCTTGCTCACCAGTTAGCTGACATTGGGCTCATTTAGTGGTGTTTATGGTCCCCTACCCACTGGAGAACCCAGAGATGGTGCGCTTTCTCAAGACTACAGTTTGGAGGAAAGTAAATTGAGATGAATCATGGTGAGACAAGATAGTTAAAATGTCATGCTCCATAAGTTTGAATGCATCCTTCAAGTTCTGAACAGTAAAATGCAACTGAATGCTGAAACAAGGGAAACAAAGAAAAAGCAGATCACCAACGATACAAATCCTCCTTGGACAAGGATGCTTCATGGGGGGAACCAAACATCTTTTCAGAGACATCCTTGAACACACATCCGCACGCACACAAACTCCCTCTAGATTTTACTTTCCTTTTATCACCAGCCTTCAATACATTACAACCCTTAAAAAAAAAAGCTATTATGGTTGAGGGGATGACACAACAAGACGGCAAGATTTCAGAGACAAACAATAAACCACTAGCTTTATTTCTGTTTACAAATGTGCGCCAGTCCCTAGGCTGACTGGATAAATTACAAAAATTTGTCCCCAGTAAATGTGGGAGCTAGTGATGATGTGTTTTGAGAGTCAGTAAAGGCCTGTTTAGTTTCAGCAGAGGGTTGAAGAGAGGCTAGGGTTGGGGAGTGGGCGCAAGTGGGAGATGGAGCAGCTTGTCAATTTCGCCTTGCCCAGCCCTGTTGATTTCAGGCCTTCCTACTCTGAAGCTCTCCAAGTGTACACAGCCTAAGAGAAACCCAAGAATGACGTATTTCCTGGAAGTGGCCAATCTAAGCTAATAGCCTGACCCTGAGGATAGCTTTTCTTTGTTATGTGAAACCTCCGTTATTGGGACAACCAAGCTCTCGAGGGAGTTTCCCTTCCCTTTTGTGGATCAAGAACCCTTTTGAAAATATAATGGAAACTGCAGACCCTCTCTTGAGAAAAATGTTGATATACACACATTTTTGCATATATTTTAGGGATTCATAACATTCCTGAGGTTGCCCCAGGTTAAGAACCCCTATTCTAAATACCTTTTTAAAAATAAAAGATGAACATTGATAAAATCTATCCTTCTTTCTTCAATTCGATAAAAAAAAGGAAGCTTAGAGATGAGCCAGCCATCGTAACCTTCAGACTCCAAATAATACTGTCCTTAATAATAATAATATTCAAGTGTCATGTTAGTGGTCCCTACGGACATCTCTAGTCTTCATAATAATTTTTATTTTTATTTAATGTTTGGAGATGCTGTAAAAAGTGACTACTGTTTCAAAATGTGACCTCTGTGAGGTTTAAAACTTACTGAATCAGATGAGATATGAAAGCGTTCAATATAATGTATGACTTAAAGCTATGTTTTTTAAACTTTAATAGGAAACGTCTGACTCTGAGATCACTGTTTCTAAAGCCTGGCAGACAGAAACATGTCTTTTAAAAAGATCTAATTTATATACCAAATAGAGATCCAGCAGGTAGAAATGATGCCTTTCCTCTTTACCTCATGCAAAACTGAACATTTCGTTTGCTTTGAATAAACCTCAGCTCTGGAAATATTTTATTTTATTGTATTGTATTTGGAGACGGGGTCTCACTCTGTTGCCTAGGCTGGAGTTCAGTGGGGCAATCCTAGCTCACTGCAATCTTGACCTCCTGGGCTCAGGCGATCCTTCTTCCTCAGCCTCCTGAGTAGCTGGAACTAAGGGTGAATTCCACCACAGTCAGATTTTTTTCTTTTTTTTTTTTTGTCTTGCTATATTGCCCAGACTATTTTCTAACTGTTTGGCTCAAGAGAGTCCCACTTCGGCCTCCAAAAGTGCTCGGTTACAGGCATGATCCACCATGCCCGGCCTCCAGCAATATTTTAACAATTATGACACATCCTATTTTTTTCAAAGATTACTCTAGTATTGTGGTAAACAGTGGGATACTGAGATAAACTTGGTCTTTGTCCTAGGAAGACCTATAGTATTATGGGAGGGCAGATGTGTGTATACACCAAAGTGACGGCCGTGATGGCTTAGACAGCATTCATACCTTCCTCCTCCCTCCTGGCAGGACTCTATTTTAATCCAGGTACCCAACTCTCCTCTACATAAGTAGTGTGATTTAGAGGAAGCTGACCCATGTTGGGCTAAACCAATCATGGTACTCCTACACACACCCTCGCCTATGATTGGTTCAGGTATCCTGGCTTCAGCCAATTATTGCTTAACTGGTGATGGTAATTGGCTCAGAGATGGTTCTCTCTCTTCCCCCGTGTGTGTGTTGCCTCAGTTGCCATCAGCCACTACCCTGCTGCCACTGGGGAAGTTAGCCTGAAGACAAAGCCAAGACATCTGGGAGATGTACCGGGGCACATCTGAGAGAATTGAAGCCAATACCCAATTGTACCACCTGAAGTCTACATCCAAAAGGTCTTTATGCGACCCAGACCTACCATTTTCTTTTTGTTTAATGTTTGAGCAAGAATTTCAAAAACATCCTGACTGCCAACCCTGTTATCACAGAGTTATGTGCTATGGGAATCTTCAGAAGGAGCACACATGCTGGGCACCATCACCCTGGGAGGAACTTTCTGGAGGAGAGGATGCTTGAGCCGTGTTCTGAAGGTTGAATAGGTGTTAGCTGGGCAGACACAGGAGGCAAGGAGATTCCTAAGAGAAGAACACTGAACAGAGGTGTTCATAGACTTGTATGACTAGAGTAAAGGAAGCATCAAGATGAGACAGCAGAGGTAGCCGAGGGCCAGATCACGAAAGGTCTCACTCCACATGAATGTGGGTTTTCTACTGGAAGTAACTGGGAGGCATCGAAAGGTATTAAGCTCTGACGTGGCATGATCAGCTGAGCATCGTAGACACATTGCTGTTGGCCGGTGAAAGGACATTTCTGTTGGAAAGGACATTTCTGGAGTCAGGGAGATCAGTTCAAGAGTCTTCGTTTTGCCAAACTCTCCTGACAAGAAGTAGGCAGCACAGTCCCTTCTGGACAGCTCAGGGTACAAAGCAGCCTTTTTTTTGAGTTGGAGTCTCACTCTGTCATCCATCTCACTCATGGCCACCCCAACGTCAACCCTGCTGGGCTCTGGAGATCCTTCCGCCTCAGCCTTCCAAGTAGCCAGAACTACAGGTGCGTGCTAACACACCTGGCTAATTTTTTTAATTTATTGTAGAGACGAAGTCTCGCCAAGTTGCCTGGGCTGGTCTTGAACCCGCGGGCTCAGGCAATCCACTCGCCTCTGCCTCCCAAAGTGTTGGGATGAC